TTAGGTACATTTATTCTGAAAACACTACTTAAGCCACCTGAAATTCAAATGTTTATAACATTACATTGTTAGCATCCTAATAATCTAAACTCAGGTGCTGAACAACAGCTTGTTAGTGTTTGTGAAATAAGAAATATTTTAAGATTAGATTCTTTCTTCCAGTGTCTCACTTCATGCAGTTCAGCACCTGCAGGACCAGGGGAACGTGATGCTGTCCTCCCTGTGTTCAGGCTGCTGGGTCCAGTAGGGGGAAGCAGTGGATAGACTGGTAGAATAGTGAAAACTTGGTTGAATGCTTAATTATTTGGACAATTCTGTTTAAATTCATGCAACACTTAAAGGTGGGGTATGTAATTTATTTCAGAAACACTTTTTATTATATTCCATGGAATGCTCTTAATATCCCGATAGCAATGAATATATTAAATGCTTTGACAATAAATACATAAAAAAAATGTAATCTGTGGAAGCCGTAGCGCTGTAAAAAGCACGACCAATCATTTTAGCCGGCCCGGCTAAAATAACTGGATGGCCTACCTGCCTGTCAGCCTTCCATCTGTGCACAAATTTATCTCGTACCCTCATTGGTCATGTGCGCGTTCGTGTGTGTTGGAGGAGGGGCTCTGTAAGGAAATCTGAAGGAAGAGGCAGATTTTTTCCGGCTGCGTAGTTTCAAATTCTAGCGCACTCGAGCTGGTTTCTCCAAAATTACATACCCCACCTTTAAATATATAAGGGCAATTTACAAAATGAAAAAAAAAGAACTTGAGTTGAAATTGATGAGCTTTCCTTGAAGATTGTTCATTGTTCATCATTTAAAAAATAAATAAACAGCAATAGGACATTGAAAAAGTATCCTCAGTCCTGTGTTTTAGATACTTGTAATTTGGTTGTTTCGGAACATTCATATTGTTTAAGCCAATCTTTATGTATTTTTATGTGCAAACGGTAGAGCCTTGTTACCCTTTGAGGAGGACCTTGAAGCTCTGATCTGTCTCAAAGGTCTGAGGTTTGATCCCCTCTGCAGCTGTATGCCCTGCCACAGTGAGCAAGTCTCTGAACTGATTCCTGATCAGTTCTCCTAATTTACACCTTCAAAGCAGATTTAACCCCTTTTTTTGCATAACAATTTCACTTTTGTGACATGTTTTTTGTTTCTGTTCACACCAACCAATGACTTTGGGTGGTATCTTTTTATTTTTATTCAGGATTAGGCTTTGGAGAGTCCAGCTGGGCAGTAAAACGTGTCTAACATGCAGCTATAAACTGAAGCAGACTCATTAGAGAGTTGACTCAGATGAGACACGCTGTTACAGTCTCGCCTTATTGGTCCCTCGGGCCTGTCAATCAGGGGGGTGATGTAATGCTGTCTGGAACACACACACACACACACACACACACACACACACACACACACACACACACACACACACACACACACACACACGCACACACACACACACACACACACACTACACACACAAACACTACAGACACACACACTAATACGTTCAATATTTTTGAGAGAGTAATACCGAAATACAGTTTCAAAGTCCAAAAGTCCTTCATTCAAAATTGTACTTATTTTACTTGTAAAAGTACACAACTATAGAGGTGAATAATATACATTGTTTTATGAATTATATTTATTGATGCCTAGTTTTGATATGCTACCATCTAGCATCTAGCTTATGAATTTTAACAAGCAATCAATAAAGTTTTATCTTTAACTTCTATTTCACTTCAGCTGTCAGATACATTCTGTGGAATTATAACATTGCAGGAAATGGAAATACTTTATTAAAGCATAAGTCTCTTCAAATTATACTTAAGTACAGTTCTTGAGTAAACGTACTTAGTTTATAATGCATTAAAAGACTGGATATCTAGCACACTGTTGTATAATGTATTTATATATAATACATAATATGTATATATATATATGTATTGACTTAGTATTTAATGTGTTTTGCCTGCATGTCATTAAGGCATATTCAGCTGATGTGGCTTATATTATGGCCACATATTTAGTCACATACACATATGATACGTTGTTTTCATGTTCTGTCACAAGACATGAAGCTACACTGAAGTACAGTCCACCCTTATTTGGGCTTTCATTAGAGACCACCACAAAATGGGGGCGAAATTCTTGCTTATACCTATATTTTTTTCAAACACTCCTTAACTTCACAATGGAAGTAAATAGGGACTAAATGGCCTTAAATTACATCCTTTAAAGTGATGTGCTATTCTTCGCCTTCAATGCTCTAACACTAAAATGAAGACATAAGACACCAGTGGAAGGCTCTTATTGTAAAGCTGCTGCTGAGAAAGAATTTTCGCCACTGAATGCTAACTTGAAGCTGTTAACGCAAATGTTTTTTAATGTCAATTTAGTTTGGCAGCAATCATACACAGCTGAATCCAAAACAGATGCAGTGCAATACCCAGCAACAACATACAGGGAGATAAAAGGTGAACATACTGTATAACTTCAATGAATAAATATTTGGCTATTATTCTTGTTGGACTAAAACAGCTCCATCTGCTGTAGCTGTAAGGAGCATTCAGCAGATAAAGGCTCAGTCATAATAATAGCAGTATAGATTGAAGGGTTTTGGTCATTCATGGATAAATGCAAAACTTTGAACGTCTGTTGGCATGTCATCTTGTCATTGGTGGATGTTCATTTCCAAAACTCAAAGATATTTCGCAGAAGAGAATGTTTTGATTTGAAGGTCTTGGGTTATTTGAAATAATTGGCTATTGTTTTTGATTGGCTAATTGATTAGATGACTTATCGTTGCAGTTTGATCTGCTGTAGCTTTAATGAGCTCTCAGCAGATGTAGACTATTGCCTACATCACAATACAAAAAGTAGATAATAGTTGCTATTAGTGCCTTTTTTATGCTCAAAATCTTGCATTTTGTAGGACTACAGATTAGTGAATTACGCTTAATCAGAAAAATTGACATGTCATCATGTTCATGCAATGGCTGCTCCTGCCATTTTTGCACAAAAATAGCTTTGAATATGAAATAATGGCGATTATTTTTGAATGAATTATCAATGAGTTGACTAATCCTTGTAGTTTTTATCAGATGTTTCTTTCACTCTGTTTGCATTGTCATGGGTGTGATCTGCCAAAAAAACAAAACTTAAAACTGGAAATGAGGGAATGATTCAGACAGAGAGAGAGTGCTTGCTATCAGCATCATGATTAGATTTTAAAGCTTGTTTTTTCTTAATGGATAAATGCAAAACTGTAAATATTGTGTGTTGCCATTACTGGATGTTGAAGTTGAAGTTTAAATGTATAAAATAAGACCATTTTCTTTGTCTAAGGTGGTGTCTATATGTCCGAAACCCAAAGGAGATCTTTAAATGCCATCTGAGAGAGCCATTTTTGCACAAATAATTACTGTTGAAATAGTCCTTTTTGATTGATTAATCGACTAATAATCGTAACTCTACTTTATTTCTCATTCATCTGTTATTTTATCCTCTTCCATGTATGACTTCGCAGAGTGAACATGTTCAAAGAAACAAGTGGAAATGCTGAAAAGGCAAGTGGAAATTGGAGATGAGAGACAGACCCATGCAGAGAGGAGGGGGGAGGAGGGGGGAGGAGGGGGGAGGGAATGCTGCAGATACGTCAGGAGGAAGGCATCATAAAAGATTACAGTTTTTGTTCTTTCTTTTATGCCATTGGATTTTGAAGTTTAAGGTCTTGAATGTACAGATTGGGAAGGTCCTCTGAGAAAATATGTGATAGAAATGCATAAAATATTTGTCATGTTTAAAACCCAAATATGTTTGGATAAAGGAAATCTTTATAGGCCATCAGAGAGCCTGAAAACAGCATTTTCTGCCATTTTTGCAACAAAAAATACTTGAATAATGAAATCAACCAAATAATTGTAACTTTACTTTTGCAGGAATGAGGTTTTCCCAAAAGATATGTATAATTAAAACTAAATTGACTGAAATTGATTGTCAAAGATATTCACATGAAGAAAATATAGGCTATCTTAGAGTTTGAAAACAGCCTTTACTGCATATACTTAAATGTTTCAAGCGTTAGTTTAAGTGTTTCTTAATTAATTGACTAGTCGACTTGAAGTTATACTTTATTTGTCTTTATCTGCTGTTTCCTCCTCTCCTCATTTTCCAAAAAGGCATGTGGAAATTGGAAATGAGAGACAGACAGAGAGAGAGGAGGGGGGGAATGCTGCAGATACATTACGCTACATCATAATAATAGAAATAGAGTTCGTCTTTCTTTAGTGCCATTGGATTGAATTTAAAGCTTTTCAATAAATAAAAATGTATAAAATGTCATTGTTCCTCATGTTTTATTTATCTGTATGTTCTTATTTTAAAACCCAAGGTGATGTCTGTAAATGCCTATGCCCAAATATGTTCAGATAAAGGACATCATTAGGTTATCTTAGACTCTGTAAACCACATTTTTGCAACAAAATACTTTAATTATTAAATAGTCAGCGATCATTTTGATTGACTTATCGACCAAATAATTGCAACTCTTGCAAATATTTTATGCAGGATTGTGATTTGCCAAAAAGATATGCATGAATAAAACTAAATTGTGTGTCTGAAAACAGCAACAAAATGGCCTACTTTGATGATTAAAGTGTTAGTGTTCGTCAATTAATCGACTTGTAATACTTTATTTGTCTGTAGGCCTATCTGCTGTTTGCTCCTCTCTGTCGGCTTTGTAGGGATTGTGTTTGCTAAAAAGGCAAGTGGAAATTGGAAATGAGAGACAGACCCAGACAGAGAGGAGGGGGGAGGAGGGGGGAGAGTGACACTGAGAAATCCCTGGAGACAGACAGAGAGAGAGAGAGAGAGAGAGAGAGAGAGAGAGAGAGAGAGAGAGAGAGAGAGAGAGAGAGAGAGAGAGAGAGAGAGAGAGGAGAGGAGAGAGAGAGAGAGAGAGAGAGAGAGAGAGAGAGAGAGAGAGAGAGAGAGGGAAGGGGTGAGGGAGAAAGAGAGGCGCAGACCGACGTCCGTTAGCAGTTTAGTCGCCGGTCACTCGGCTGAAAACACGGATCCATTACATCTCTAACGGAACCGGACATTTAAACTAGTTTCAGCGACATGTTTTTAGCTTAGCTGCGTTCAAACTACATGTAGCCTACCGGCTGTACCGACACTTCTGCGGGAGGCCGACAGATAGATAGGCAGATAAATATATACATTTCGGAGGAAGAGGAGGAGAAACCGGAGCGAGGAGGAGGAGAGAACCGAAACAGGAGGAGGACGACGGAGGGGAAGGAGAGGAGGCTGGAGAGAAAAAGGGAGGATTTTTTGGGGGGGAGTTTGGCGTAGTGTTATTTGTTGGGCTCCTCTCCTCCAGCCTTTTCCCCTGTCTGGAGAAAAAGCCTAATGGTTGACTTCAGGAGGCTTTAAATGAACTTGATGGGTGTTTTAAACGCCACCGCCAATGTCTCCTGTACATGTAACTGCAAGCGCTACACCTCCCTCCAGAGCATGGAAATCAGTGAGTAACTTACATTCACTTTTCTTGTGTTTTTCATTCACTTTAGCTATGTCTGTACATCGAAACTGCCAAGCTACACACTCGTTTCTGTACTTGGGCTCCTCACAAATACAGAAAGAAGGAGCAAATTGTCTTCATCTAGTTTTTTGGGTGTCACTTTTTGCCATAGGCGATGTCGGGCTGTGTTTCAGTGACATGAAACATCACAAAATGTGTCCACTCTTTCATTTTGAATCTAGTAAAGTTGTAGGTGAGCTGAGTATGTGTTAACGTTGTACAGCTTGTGTACAAACTTCTGTTCATGGCGGCCCATGAACTGGGGCTCGGTCCCCATGCGGAGGACCCGGGTTCGAATCTTGTTCGGGTCCTTTTTCTGTGTGTCATTCTCTCTGTTTCTCCCCGTTTCAATTCTGTCTCTACAATAAGATTGCCCGAAAAAATATTATGTTAGATCACATGCTAGCCTCTTTAAAATACGTTATGTTTTCTCCTCAGTGAACCTTTAACCCGTTTAATAAGGCTTGATTTTGAACTTGAGCCAAAACTGCCAGCTTCCCATCTCTTTCCTTACAGCCGGATTGTTTAAACAGCATTTGTTGCCTCATTAATATCATATCCATGTTTATTATATCTGTTTTGTTCACTTTGAAAGCCTAGTTTGACAAAAAGTGTTATTTTTCGTTTGGGGTTTCGCAGCCGCCGGGGTTGTGTCTGATCTCAGCTTGCTTCATTTGAACATACTCCGCCTTTCCGCTGGGTTTTAAGGGTACAAATACAACTTTAAGTGTATTTAAACTACCAGGAAGTTACAGTTGAGGACATGGAAAGCTGGATATTAGAGGAAAAGGTGTGTTTGTTCGGTGGGAAAGGGGGGAGTTGGAAGTTTTGTCGCCGCTTCGTCATTCGAGCAAAGCCAGACGAGTGTCTAGCCGTCTGCCCGCGCGCGTGCGTATGTGTGCGCGTCCACGTGCATGTGTGTGGTCGCATCCGGGAAATCCTCGTGTATGTGTTTTATATATGAGTGTGCTTTTTGGTGTGTAACTGTGTGTGCTTTTTGCAAGACACTTCCCGGGTTAGGAGTGCTATTCCCACTGGGGAAACACACATGCTGGTACAGTCACAACACTGAAAGGTCATCTAGATGAAAGCTGTGTGTGTGTGTGTGTGTGTGTGTGTGTGTGTGTGTGTGTGTGTGTGTGTGTGTGTGTGTGTGTGTGTGTGTGTGTGTGTGTGTGTGTGTGTGTGTGTGTGTGTGTGTGTGTGTGTGTGTGTGTGTGTGTGTGTGTGTGTGTGTGTGTGTGTGTGTGTGTGTGTGTGTGTGTGTGTGTGTGTGCGTCCAGCTGAGGTCAGGAGCAGGGCTGACTCATGAGTGTTCTTTTCCCCATAATGACCGCCTCGCTGCACATTATCCCTTACATATTCAATCACTTGCATTTAGACTCTTATTGCACTACTCCACTTTTTTACAATTTTACAATTTTTCTTTTTGTATTTACTTGCACTATCTTTTCTGTTTTTTCTGTTTTATTTTGTTGCACTGTTGGAGGAGCCTGTGACCTAAGATTTTCATCGTCATAACTACACTGTAGCTATGTTCGCATGACCAATAAAAGCCTTGCATTTAAAATATTCATAATAGAAGCAAGCCTTTTTGCTCACAAAGCAAGAGGTTTAGTTTACACAGCTTAAATCAAGACTAAGAAACATGTGCATGGTTGGACTCACCATGGTCTGATAAATATCAATAAATAGCCAACTTAAAAAAAGTGTTAAGATGATAACGTGACTTCCTGTCTCTTGAAAATACCAAACCTTGTGCAGAACTATTTGTATTCTGACTTTTAAAAGAAGCATGACTCAATGACTCCTCGGCCTGTTTTCACAACCTAAGATCTATTTAGAGGCTACTTTTATTGGCCGGTTATGTAGATATCTTGACAGGCTTATTATGATTTTCCAGTTTTAGATTTAGAGGAGAAGATAATTGAGAACACTGTGCGTAATGTGTTCCTCTCATTATGTGTGGGATGGGTTCACGTGGGTGTCATCAGACATTTACTCACCATGCAGCTAACTTGAAATGACATTTGTCCTCAGTGAGCCTCAAGAGACCAGGTTAAATACCAGTAATAACATATGTACTAGTCTTTTTGAATTCATTATAGTTTTGGTATAGTTGTACTATAAGTGAGTGTTATTTAAAGTATTCTAGGAGTAATAGTTGGATGTAATAGTAAAATAACTTACAGTAGTTTTGCAGAGTTATACGAAGATCTTAGCTCCTCGAAAAAACGAAAGAAGCCTGGCTTTAAAAGTTTTTGAAAATGGACATGGGTCATTGAAAGTGCCATTTATGTTTGTCTGTGCAAGAACAGACATTTTTTATGCACCAACTGCCTTGAGAAAGTGTGACAATAAGCAACCTTTAAAGGTCCCATGACATGGCCATTTCTACTGATCATAATTCCATTGTTGAGGTATACTAAAATAGATTTACATTGTTCAATTTTCCAAACTCACATTGGTTTCTCATACAGCATCTCTGTATAGCATGTGTATTCACTCTCTGTCCTACACGCCTTGTTGGAGCTCCTGCCCCCACCCCTCCCTGTGAGCCCACTGTGCTCTGATTGGTCAGCTCGCCCACTCTGTTCTGATGAGTCCACCACCGTTCAGAGTTCCCGTTAGCCGGTAATTACCGGACTATGACCGGTAAAATATGCTGAAGACCGGCAAATCTAAATCTCTCCGGTCAAAATGTCCGGTCAAAATTGTTTCCCCTTAGCGCAATACCGCATCAGTTGCGCCACTTATGTGACAGACAAGAAGAGTATGTGACAGACAAGAATAGTATGTGACAGACAAGAATAGTCAATTATAATGTCTACACTTAATGTGGAGAAAGAGATGTCCTGTATGGGTTGATTGTGCGTTGATCTGTTGGTAATGCCTCCGGTGGGCATGTAAACAAATGCATAATGCTGCGCTATACTTTGTGGCCTCACCCGGTTGCATAGCGACGCTTATTGTTTAGGTGTCTTTTAATAAGCAGGTAGTCATATCATTAGCTAGAACTAGCTAGATCTGATCGATATGGACACAAACGCGAGTAAAGTCTAATCTGACGGGAGAGAGAGATCGGCTGCTGCTGACGAGTCGACACGCAGCTCTGCATGATCCCCTGCAGCGGTGAGCGGAGCAAAACACACTTCAGGTTAGAACATCACACGTAGCTATTTTAATTACCTCTCAAACTACCTAAACTAGTTATAGATATGTTTAGTTTTACTGTCGGGTTACTCATTACTGGATCCGCGAGCTGCATGATATTGGCGTGTTGTCAGGAGAGGGGGAGAGAGCGCTCCGTTTATTATTCCCGTGTTATTGTAAATTACTGTACACTTTTGAATAGTTAATTAATCTACTATAATTAGTTTGTTTAATATCGAATCATATCAATTTGTTTCAAAGCTCAATAAATAACATAGAAGACCTTTGACCGGCACTTTTCAAATTTTGTCCGGAAGATTTAAACTGTAACGGACATGTTGACCGGCAAATAATTATTCTAACGGGAACTCTGCCACCGTTACAGCGGAACATCAGTGTTTATGTGTTACAATGGCGTTTGTTATCAACCAGAAAATGAGAGCAGTAATGACAAACAGATGAGAATGCTGCGTGGGGTCTGGGTGCCGTGTTGGCGGGACGTTGCGGGGCTCGCTGCTGCGAGGAGCGGACAGTGTGAGCTGGATTACTGGTGTGGTTTCCTGGTTGCTGTGTGGGCTCGGCAAGACAGCGAGACACAGCGGAACTCAGCCTGAGCACACACACACACTCACAGCCAGGCTGTTCGCCACGCAGTTCGCCACACACTCACAGCCTGAGAAAAGATAAGGCTGAGTGAGTGAGTGTGTGTGTGTGTGTGTGTGTGTGAGGAGCTCCGCGGATTGGTCCATTTGGACTTGGGTATTGTTACGTCACTATACTCAGGAAGAAAAAAAAGAAAAAAATCTCCAACGAGGCGTTCTGGGGCAGAATAGACAGGTCTTTTCTGTGTTAGAGTTTTACTCGCTACAGGGTGTACTTGGAGGGTGACTTTGCAGACCGTTTACATGCATAAAAAGCTACATAACACACAAGGGGACGGGTAATAACCGGAAAAGCATGACATGGGACCTTTAACATGATTCAATTATGCTGTGTCATTGAATTTAAGAAACTGCCTGAAAAGAGCTCACATTTGATGTTTAGGAACTTGAAGCGATGGGAACCCTCTCTATTATTAGCAATGCCAAATGGCTAATGGCCAAAAGTATGACGACTCCAAGACATTACAAACCATCAATCTGCAGCTCTCAAAAGACTTGTCTGTTCTTGTTTTTTGTTTTAGCTTTGGAGTTTATTCCAAAGATTGTATTGCTACACAATAAATCATCACAATGTCAATTGACAGGATAAAAATGTGCAAAAGACTACGATATTGCACATTAAGTATACTGTAGTAAACATTTTTTGCCTGATACACATTAAACAAATCATTCAACTTGCAATGTGTTGTATTTGAGCAGAATATTGAAAGCAGCAGAAAGTAAAGTACACTTTAATCAGATTATTCATTGCAATTGCGATATTCAACACATTCCCATATTTCTCTTCACACGGTGCAGCCCTAGTTGAAGTCAGTTCTTCCTCACCAAACTGGAAAAGCCATTTCTTTTTCAACAGGAAATGCTTTCATGTTAAAACATGAGGGAACTCTCCTAACTGTTGCCGTATTCTTTTTTGGATTATAAACACATCTTTTAATTGTATTGTGAATGTGAGCAGTCATAGCAATCAATGAGTGAAATACCTTGACTGAACACAAGAGAAATACAGAATGCAGACGCAGTTCCTCAGTCAGAACGCAGACATGATGTTTAGTCTGGAAGACAAAGGGAGGGAAACAGATAAAACAAAGGAGGAGAGAGGGAGGACTGCAGAGGGAAGAGTATGTC